TTTACTAAGAACGTGACTTCCTCTTGTCTCCAACTAACAAATACGTAATCGGATGAACTTTTATTTTAACCCAACGCAATAAAACTCATCAGAAGACGGTGGTCGTGGAGGGCAGAAGATCTATTTCAAACTGAGTAACAGGTATGTGAGAAATGATCGTTAGTTTCAGTTGAGATCCTAAGAAGGAATCGAAAGGCACACTTTCGGAATCAGTTAACTGCGCTAGATTCGACTCATATTTTATGTAATATTTGCAGACGAAGTCAATCGAACTACGAAACTGCGAAGAGCAAAAACCAAGAGGTTAGTGTTCGACGAAATTTACTTTTTTGTGGCTTTGACTTTAAAAGCTGAAAATAAATCATTGTTTAGAGTGATAGTATAACAGTTTCAGCGATATTGTTTTGCTTGATTTCATCTTTCATAAGATTACTGATTTATTTTTATGTTTTCATCTTTTATGTAGTTAGTAACCGATCGCTTTTAAACATATACAACGTCGTTTGCGTTTGTGTTTGCGTTTGCTGATGACTGTAGTGAGAAGCTGTAAATTGGCGTGTGATATTCTCGCTCATCTTTGGACTTTTAATTCTGATTCATAGTCCGCTAGTAACGCAACTCCCAAAGAACTCCCTTCTTCTTTTTGCCAGGTATTTTTTAAAGGCCTAGTAAAAACTATACAGCATTCTGAAACAGTTTATTTAGATACTTGAAACGAATTACGCTCAAAACATTTACGATTTATCTGTTTTGGTAACAAATTTTAACTTCCTGATCTGTTCTGCATACTAAATGAGGGGTTTTTCCGGCAGGGAATTCCCTTTTGATGACACAATATACAAAAACGTACGAAAGGTTAAGGTACTTTTCCCTGGGGTTTTTTTTCCAGCAGCTTAACCTGAGATCAGGCCCAATTTAAGCGGTTCTCATACATTCTCTCTAACGGCTACCACTAAGGCCTGTTTCAAACGTCGTCCTACTGCCGTGCCAAGCTGGCTCGACTGTAGCTCGACTGCAGCACGGCACTAGCACGACTTGGTTTCAGACGTCGAATTTAAGTCAGTCGAATAGAGCGGCTGTTGCCGAAAACAAAACACAAAAATATAGAAACGGTTTAGCAAACTTTTGAATGTATTCTAATGTATTTATAATTTATGAATTGAGTTCGGCACGGCGGTAGCACAACGTTTGAAACCAAGTCGAGCTACTGCCGTGTAGCACGGCAAGCCTTGTTGTGCTACACGGCAGTAGCTCGACTTGGTTTCAAACGACGCGCTACTGCTGTGCTAAAGTCGAGTTTAATTCGAGCAATTGAGTTCGGCACGGCAGTAGCACGACGTTTGAAACGGGCCTAACATTGGGTCTGATACAAACTCTCTCACGTTCGTGCTCGTTACGGCCAGATTTTGGCCGTAACGCTGATTGGCTGTTAGAACAATGCCACAAGATCTGATTGGTTGTCGGAAACGCCGGAAGTTGAAAGCGCTTATTCCTCTCGTGGTTGTTTGTATGTATGTAAATCTTTATTTAAACACGGGAAATCATCAGTTAAGCTTAAGTTAAAAACTAAAACTAATTACAACTGCTTTACATGATTGCCGTGTGGGAATCCGATATATCAGCTACCTTCTTGATATTTCGCTTAAAAAGCTCAACGGATGCAGCGTTTTAGTGAATGATCCGCCGTCGGCGGAGAGAAAGGTCGATTTTGCTGTCTTTTTTATTTTTTTTTCGTTTTATGGTCTTATGGTAGGAAAATATGCCTTAACATGTACCCTGGAAATTCAGAAAATTCATATGGTTGTTCATATCTTCTCTGGATTTACTTTATTTACAGAACTAATGTGAGTGTATCGCGGAGTTGAATCTCTCTGCAAGTTGGTGACCGCTAACAACAGGGGCGGATCTAGGGGGAGGGTGCAGGGGGTACGCACGCCCCCCCCCCCCCCCCCCCCC